GTAGAAATACACATCAAATGCTAAATAGACAAATGGGGCCCACTCAGCTTTGATACTGAGGAAATGCAACAGGTAGGGAAGGAAGTGGGCTTAGCCATATTATATTTCGATTGATGATTTTTTGATTATTGGTTTCAGAGATTTGAAAATGGCTAATTTTATCAGATTTAAACTGACTCCTTGAGGGTACTTGTGTTTCTTGGTTTAAAAGTCCCCTGCTGACCGGCGCCGCAGCTCACTAGGCTAATCCTCTGCCTGCAGCGCCGACACCCCGGGTTTTAGTCCCAGTTGGGGTGCCAGTTCTGTCCCGGTTGCTCCTCTTCCAGGCCAGCTCTCTGCTGTGGCCCGGGAAGGCAGTGGAGGATGGCTCAAGTGCTTGGGCTCTGTACCTGCATGGGAGACCAGGAGGAAGCACCTGGCTCCTGGCTTTGGATCGGCGCAGCGTGCCAGCCGTAGTGGCCATTTGGGGGCTGAACCAACGGAAGGAAGACCTTTCTCTCTGTCTCTCTAACTGTCTAACTCTGCCTGTCAAAAACAAACAAACCAACCAACCATGCACTCTCTTAAGGGGTACATGGATAAAAAAAAAAGTCCCCTGTCAAGGTATGCACATCCCATTTCATCCTCACTTTCTTAGCATAATTTTGTAGTGATGTAACCTTGTGACAGCCAACAAATTCAATCTCTTCATTTTATAGGTACTGGAGAATAAGATAGGTTATGGGGAACCAACTGTGACTCAGCTATGCACGATGACATCTTTTCCCCTTGGTGTTTGCCCACTTCCCACAACAATAGTGTTACTGAATTTCTGTGTTCTCCATTCAGTTGTCCACATCAGAAATAATTCTCCAAGGAAAGGTATCTCAAAAACATTGGATGCAAATTTTCAGTTATTAAAATGCCCTAGAGGGGCCAGTGTTGTGGCCTAGTGGATTAGGCCTCTGTTTGTGATCCAGACATCCCACATCAAATTGCTGATTCAAACCTTGGTTGTGCTGATTCTAAGTTCTTGTTAATACACTTAGGAAAGCAACATAATATTGAACCCTCATGAGAGACCAGGATGGATTTCCTAGCTCTTGGCTTCAGCCTTGTGCAAATCTGGTTGTTCTGGCCATTTGGTGAGTAAGCCAGCAGATAGATAGATCTCTCTCTCTCTCTCTCTCTCTCTCTCTCTAACCTTTCAAATAAATAAATAAATACATTTTAGAAAGATACTCTAGAACTTGTCGCTTCATCAAATTGTGTATGTGTGTGCAATATGTATATATCATGACAAAGTCCTAAGTATAGATCAGCAGATACACAAACTATTGTGACAATGTTGCTGGCTTCTTCAGTTTCCAGAAATGTGGTGACTAAGAACATTGAACTGACAGAATCAAGTAAATGAGTTTTGAGGCTGCTGTTGCCTAGAAACTAATTGAAATCGTGTTTTGTTTAGTTTTGTTTTGTTTCCCATTTAAAGATTAGCTCTGACTGTGCTTCTGAAAATGAAAAGCAGGAAGCAGTACTCTACTCGTTGTGGTGTTCCAGGGCTCGGTTATGGCCTGCAAGTGATCTCACATGACTGCAGGTTTAGTAAGGAGCAAATCCTATAAATAAGATAAAGTTCCAAACCACTTTCGGCTTGGCTGCCTTGAATTATGCAGAGTATATAGGATAATCTCAATTTCAGTTTGGCATTGAGGTTTCAGATAATCCAGAATTCTTTGACTCAAAAGCAATATGAAGACTTAACACTCAATAAGGACACCTCTGATGCTTAGTGAGTTTGCTGATTTCCCCTTTGAGTGTATTAACAAACAAGAAAAGCATGACAGAGAAGGTTTACCTTGTAAATAATGGCCCAGTGGCAAAATCTGCCAATGTCTGCACCACCTACATCGGCTATTCTCGTGGAAAAGGGTGACTATAAATACTATTCCCCAATCCCTAACATATACTCATGTCAAGAGATTTCTTCCTTTTGCATACAACAACAAGATTAACCTAGAAAACTGACTAACAGATGCTCTTGTTTTATCAAAGAAGTTTCAGTAACTTTTAAGAATAAGATGCAGGGTGCATGGCATTGTGGCATAGTGCATAACGCTGCCACTTGCAGTGTTGGCATCCAATATTGGTACCAGATGGATTTCCAGGCTGCACCACTTCCAATCCAGCTCCCTGCTAATGCACCTGGGAAAGCAGCAGAGGATGGCCCAAATGTTTGGCTTGCTGCAACTTCATGGGAGACCCAGAAGAAACTCCTGGCTCTTGAGTTCACATCGGCCCACTCCAGTCATTGAGGCCATTTGGAGGATGAACCAGAGGGTGGATGAAAGATTCTCTCTCTCTCTCTCCCTTTCTCTTTCTCTCTCTTTCTCCCTCTACCTCTCTGTAACTTCCTTTCAAATACATGAATAAATTAAAAAAAAAAAAAACAAGAATAAGACATAGGGTCAGCAAATCCAAATACACATACATAGAAAGGCACAGTCCTCTAGGACATAAGGAAATAGACAATCATTTGTATCTGGTTTATTTATTTATTTATTTATTTATTTTTGATAGGCAGAGTGGACAGTGAGAGAGAGAGACAGAGAGAAAGGTCTTCCTTTGCCATAGGTTCACCCTCCAATGGCCGCTGTGGCCCGCGCTGTGGCCAGCGCATTGTGCTGATCCGAAGGCAGGAGCCAGGTGCTTCCTCCTGGTCTCCCATGCGGGTGTAGGGCCCAAGGCCTTGGGCCATCCTCCACTGCACTCCCTGGCCACAGCAGAGAGCTGGCCTGGAAGAGGGGCAACCGGGACAGAATCCGGTGCCCCGACCGGGACTAGAACCCTGTGTGCCGCCACCACAAGGCAGAGGATTAGCCTAGTGAGCCGCAGTGCTGGGCCTTTTGGTTTTTGTTATTTGTATCTGGTTTTTAAAGAAAGGACTAATCCATACATTGTACTAACAATTTTAAGTATACACATTTAGTCTCTTACAGAGTCCCCAAAGTGAGCCAAATGTCACAAGCAAGAACCAGGTATGTCTTATTTCACCTAAGCTTGATCCTAGATATACACTTTTGCTTGGAGCTCCGCTGTAGGTCACAGTTTCCTATCAGTAAAATGGAAGGTAAGACTGAGGTATATCTAAGGTAATATATTGCTATGAACTGCATGTACACACTAAGAAAATTCATGTTGAACTTGATCCCCAATACAATTTTAATAGGGACTTTAGGATGTGATTAGATCACAAAAGATCCAACTGCATGAACAAGATGAAAGCCCTTATAAAAGAGTTCCAATCCTGGCCAGCGCTGCAGCTCACTAGGCTAATCCTCCGCCTGTGGCGCCGGCACCTGGGGTTCTAGTCCCGGTCAGGGTGCCGGATTCTGTCCTGGTTCTCCTCTTCCAGTCCAGCTCTCTGCTGTGGCCCTTGAAGGCAGTGAAGGATGTCCCAGGTGCTTGGGCCCTGTACTCTATGGGAGACCAGGAGGAAGCACCTGGCTCCTGGTTCGGATAGGCACAGTGTTGGCCATAGCAGCCATTTGGGGGGTGAACCAACAGAAGGAAGACCTTTCTCTCTGTCTCTCTCACTGTCTAACTCTGTCGGTCAAAAAAAAAAAAAAAAAAGAGTTCCAATCTCTTTGGCCTGTTTTTTCCTGCCATGTGAATGAGCCACCAAGATGCCACAGCTGGAATAGGCCCTCACAAGACACTGAATACACTGGTGCCATGAACTTGTATTTCTCAGCCACTAGAACACAGAGAAATCAATTTCTAGTACTTCTAAATTACCAGTCTCAGATATGTTAACACCTTGATTGGATTGTGACACTCATTCTTAACTCTATTTATCATGGCATTCCATTAGTTAACTTTAGTTCTAAGGCAAACTTTTGAAAATGTATCTGCTGGAGCTGGCATGATGGTGTAGTGGGTAAAGCCACCTCCTGCAGTGCCTGCATCCCATGTGGGCGCTGGTCCAAGTCCTGGCTGTTCCACTTTTTTTTTTTTTTTTTTTTTATTTCACAGATAGAGTTAGACAGTGAGAGAGACAGACAGAAAGAAAGGTCTTCCCTCCATTGGTTCACCCCCAAATGGTCGCTAAGGCTGGCGCTGCGCCAATCCGAAGCCAGGAGCCAGGTGCTTCCTCCTGGTCTCCCACTCGGGTGCAGGGCCCAAGCCCTTGGGCCATCCTCCACTGCCTTCCCAAGCCACAGCAGAGAGCTGGACTGGAAGAGGAGCAACTGGGACTAGAACCTGCAGCCCATATGGGATGCCGGCGCCGTAGGCGGAGGATTAGCCAAGTGAGCCATGACTTTGGTCCCCGGCTTTTCCACTTCTGATCCGGCTCTCTGCTGTGACCTGGGAAAGCAGTAGAAGATGGCCCAAGTCCCTGGGCCCCTGAACCCACGTGAGAGTCCCGGAAGAAGCTCCTGGTTTCTGGCTTTGGATTGGCACAGCTCCAGCTGTTGTGGCCAACTAGGGAGTGAACCAGTGGATAGAAGACCTCTCTCTCTTTCTCTGACTCTCCTTCTCTCTTTGTGTAATTCTAACTTTCAAGTAAATAAATAAATATTTAAAACAAAAAAGAAAGAAAAGAAAATACATCAACTGAAAAATACTCAGGAGTTTTCAAAGATTTTCATAGAGAGATGATAATCGATTTATCCGATCTCCCGTCTCTTCCTGATAATTTCTCATCATAAAGAAAGACCAGCTTGATCTCCAAAATTCCCTTTGGTGACTGATCTCTGCATTCTCTGGCATCTCCATAGCCAGAGTTGAAAGCCTGACTCAACTACTTCCTAGTTCTTTCATATTGGTAAATCCTTTTCTATCTTAATTATGTTTTCTTATTTACAAAACAAGGTTGTGCATCTACTTGCAACTCAAATACATTTTTTTTTTTTTGTCCAGAAGCATCAACATCACAGAAGAACTTGTTAGAAATACAGAAGCTTAGGCGTCATTTCTGGGCGGCGGGGAACAGAGTGGCCAATGGCGTGCAGAGCAACATGCCCAAGTTTTACTGTGACTACTGCAATATGTACCTCACCCATGACTCCCCATCTGTGAGAAAGATGCACTGCAGTGGTAGGAAACACAAAGAGAATGTGAAAGACTACTATCAGAAATGGATGGAAGAGCAGGCTCCGAGCCTGATCCACAAAACAGCGGCTGCATTTCAACAAGGAAAGATACTGCCTACTCCATTCTCTGCTCCTCCTCCTGCAGGAGCGATGATCCCACCTCCCCCCAGTCTCCCGGGTCCTCCTCGCCCTGGTATGATGCCTGCACCTCATATGGGAGGCCCTCCCATGATGCCAATGATGGGCCCTCCTTCTTCCTGGGATGATGCTCCTGGAATGAGGTCACCCATGGGAGGCCATATGCCAATGATGCCGGGGCCCCCAGTGATGAGACCTCCTGCCCGTCCCATGATGGTGCCCACTCGTCCAGGAAAGACTCGGCTGTACAGATAAGGAGAGAGGGGAGGCCTCTTCCTGGCAGTTCTGTATCACTGGTTCTGCTTCACCAGGAGATCATGGTGCTGTGACTCGGTGTTTTCTAACAGCATGACAAAGAAGACTTGCCCCCCTTCTTATCAAAGAAAGAATAGTTTTGGGGGGAAGTGGGATTTCAAAAAGTGCAGTTTTCATTTGTATTGTGAAATGTGAAAATAAAATTGTCAACTCCTTTAGTTAAAAAAAAAAAGAAAGAAATACAGAAGCTTAGATTCAGCCTAGGACTTCTGAATCAGAATCTGCAATTTAACAAAAACACAAATGATTCATATATGTATTCAAGTTAGACTAGTGTGCATAACTGTATCTAATAGCATAAGAATGTAAAATAATTCCTAACTAATATAAGCACTCAGTATCATCCTTATTAATCCAGTAAATATTAACTGGCCATAACCAAAAAAAAAAAAATCAAGAGAGGGACTTGCATAAATTGGATGATGAAAGCAATATCTTACAGCATTAAAATTATAGGTGTTTAAAAACAACAAAAAATTCATAATAGTCATCAATAACTAATATTTAAGTGAAGACTGAGTAGAGCTGAAAGAATTAATGTGTATGAACATTTTAGAAGGCAGTGAGGCCTGTTGATGCTATGTCTTTAACAAAGTAAAAAATTATGTAACAGTCTTCCTATTCATGTACTACATATTTTTTCCATCAGATTTAGCCTTCAGACCTTCTTAAGTTGAATTCCAAGTAGATGCTATTTCTCCTAACTATTCTTTATTGATTCACTAAGTGTAACAGATAAAATCCAAAATTTTTGGAGACCACTGGATGCTCTGGTTGCAATGTTTGTGTCTGCTCAAAATTCATATAATGATATTCTAACTTTCTAAGTGATGGTACTACAAAGTGTGACCTTTGGGAGATGATTAAACCATCTATGAGGGCAGAATGAACTTGTGCCTCATCTGCCATGTGAGGTTTCAGCAAAAACCGTCCATCCATGAGAAACTGGCACTCATCAGTAACCACATACAGTGACACCTTGATCTTGAACTTCCCAACCTCCAGAACTGCCAGAAATAAATTTCTGTTGTTTAGAAGCTACCCAATCTATGATATTTTCCTATAGCAGCTCAAAGGAACTAAGACAGCTGTTCATTCTCGTCCTTCGTGATTCTCTGCAACACTCTCTGATTTGCCTCCTACACCCTCCAACACATCCACTTGTGATGCATCATTTTACACAGGAAATTTGCATTCTCCAGATGTCCTTCTTTTTCATCGACTGCAGACGTCCTATTTCTTCAAGGCCTTTCTTGAAAGTCACTTTCCCTGAAAAGAAGCCTATGTTTTCTAGGAGGATTTAGCTTTCCATTGCGTCTAATAGAACATAATTTATACCCTCTCTTTTGCTGCTAATTATACTGTGTTGGAACTGTCTGCTCATCTATCAGTTTTCCTTAATAAACTCTGAACTCATTGGGGAAAAAATCATTTCCATAGCTGCCTTTGCATCAATGCCTACATTATTATTTGACCATAGCATTGGATTCCAGACCTCGGTATTCCTCAGAAACTCCCAATGGTCTGTTAAAACAAAGGTTGCTGGGTCACAGTAGGTCTGGAGTACGACCTGATCATTTACATTGCTGACAAGCTCTCAGGTGATGTGGATACTCTTGCTCTAGACACTTTGAGAACCGCTGACATATGGGCAATTCACCAAAGTTTTGTAGAAAACATGAATTGACAGGGAAGTGCTTATACCTAATGTACCTGACACAGATCTGAGAGCAAATAATTGATCTTCCTATTTCTAATTCCATACTGTTTTTTTGTTTTGTTTTGTTTGTTGTGTACAATGTTGAATGCTTTGTTCCTAAGGACATTTATCATCAATCATTGTGTGGCAAATTGCCACAAATTGAATGGCTAAAAACACATTTACTACAGTTTGGGAGTTCCTCAAAAAGGCAAACAGAATTTCCATACAACCCACAAGTTCCACTGCTGTTAAATACTCAAAACAACTGAAAGCAGACATTCAAACCAATATGTGTGAATACACCCACAGCAAAACTATTCACAGTAGCCAACAGGTGGAAACGAGCCAAATGGTCATTGACAGATGAATGGACCGATAAATGCTATGTATTCATACCATAGAATATAATTATCCACAGGAAGAATGAAATCCTATTGAATGCTATAGTGTTGATAAACCACAAGAACATTAGTTAGGTCATGATGGTCAGACAGAAAGGTCACTTCTTGCATGATTCAATTCGTATGACCAACTCTAGAATATGTAAATTTACAGAGATGGAAACAAATTAGCCGCTGCTAAGGGCTGGGGAAATGGAGCTGCAGAATGGTGGATTAATGATTACCAAGTTTTCTTTTGGGGGATGTATTTGTTTTGGCAATGGATGGTAGTTAGGGTTTTACAACCTGGTTGAATGTACTAAATGTAACTGAATTACATGCTTTAAAAAGCTTAACATTACATTATATAAATATAGCTTATTTTAAAAATTATTTTTAAAACATACATTTTCTGAATTTCCATATGTCTGGAACTTGGAATACTTTAGCTGAGTCCTTCCCTCAAGAGTTCACGATCTTGACTGCAATCAGGGTGTTGGTCAGGCTGCACTCTCATCAGAGGCTTGCCTGGGGAAGAATCCTTTGCCAAGCTCCCTTAAATTATTTGCTGAATTAATTCCCTTGCCACTGTAAAACTCCTGGTTTATTTTTTCTTCAAGGTAAGTAAGAAAACACGTGAATTCTCTTGCCAAATCTCACCCACTTGACTGCATGACAATATGTTTCTGAAGCTCTGTGTCATCACCTAAATCCTTCTTCTATAGTTTACCCAGAAATTCTGTATTCATCCTCCAATACTGACATTGTCCATGCATGCTGTGTCTCATGATGGTTCTGTCAAGAGGACCTATCACTTCCTCTGCTCAAGTTCTATATGTGACATTGAATTATAATCACTGCTTAGAATCTGCCTTCCCATCCAAAATTCTAACTTCTGATCAAGAAGATGATGTATCTTCCTCATATGGAAACTAGTTGACACTCTTTTGTAGAACTGAGTTGGTTCCATCTGGGTCACCCAAGATGAATTCTCGTCCATTAACTCAGACTCAAATGCTTTGGAATTAGAATTACGACTGAAAAGTCCCTTCACTTTGGATGAGCCACAAATGCTGCCTGTACTCAAGGGGAGAGCATGACACACAGTGTGCCTCATTGAGAGTCACCTTGGAGCATGTATATCACACTAGCTTCTCAATTTGTAAAGTGAAAAAGTAGTACATTTACCCTTAGTTCTGTCATAGGAGTTGAATGAGCACAGTGCCAGCATGTAGTGAATACTTAACAAATATTAGCTACCGCTACAATCATTTACCTCATTTATCATGATGTCAATTATCATTACTTAATTCTTCCTAAGATGTATTTATTGTACCTCTAATAAAGTATTTGAGACTGAAAAAGAAAACCTAATCATCATTATTAGATTCTGCAGCTGAAGAACAGAGACCAAACACACCTGATGCCAGTGTTTCAAAATACATTTTCAGGGAAAAAATAGCATCCTCACTCCTGCAAGGAAGTGACAGGTGTGCTGCTAAGGAGATGTGTGGGAGTTTTCTGAGGATGTCCACAGTCCCAGTGCATCTTAGGGCTTCAGTAGAGCAGTTTTTCACCTGAAAAATGGTGACAATCAAATCAATGGGAGTTGATAGTGCTGTTTGATGCAGCTGCCTGATGGGTGCCTCCCCCTGAGGGTCTATGTAAGCACTTCCGATCTTCCATTTCAGTCTTGTGTTATTTCTTGTCTCTGAATGACTGCAGGAGTTTTTTCTGCTGACAGTATTGGTATATTCTGATCCTCATGTAGCAGTAAGCACAGCCTGAAGGCCTGTGAGGCGGTAGATTTAGCCCATTTCTAGGCAGAGGAAGTCCTGGGATGAGGTTGAGCATGTACTGACTCTAGTAGCAGACAGACCTGAATCTTCTGTTTTTCTTACCACTGTGATATTGTCTCCTTGAGCAATTAAATGGCTAAGCTTAAACTGGGCTTTTCCATTTGTCAAATAAAGTTAGCCATTTCTGTGCTTTAATATTGATTTAAAAAATTGCCTTACATGGGACCAGTGCTGTGGTGCAACCGGTAAAGCCACTGTCTGCAGTGCCGGCATCCTGTATGGGCGCTGGTTCAAGTCCCGGCTGCTCCATTTGCGATCCAGGCTCTCTGCTATGGCCTGGGAAAGCAGCAGAAGATGGCCCAAGCACTTGGGCCCCTGTACCCACGTGGGAGACCCTGGAGCCAGGAGAAGCTCCTGGCTCCTGGCTTCAGATCATCACAGCTCCGGCCATTTCAGCCAACTGGGGAGTGAACCAGCAGATGGAAGACCTCTCTCTCTCTCTCTCTCTCTCTGTCTCTCCTTTCGGTGTAACTTTCTCTCTGACTTTCAAATAAATAAATAAAGCTTAAAAAAATTGCCTTACACAAACCAGGATCCATTATATGTAGCAATTTTGTTATTATTGTTACTGTTGATTTAATGGTGTTATTAAAGCAACCAACACAGAGCCTGATATGTGGTTTAGATATAAAATAAGGCCAATTTAGGCAAAGAGGTTAATGTTCAAAGCTCAGATGAAGATGACTTGGATAAGGTTAGCTTTCCTGGAAGCCATTCTCGGGGGTAATCTACATGGTTCAAAATCCCTGTGGATTAGCCTTGTAACATGGAGGCTACCACAAACCAGATACTCAGTGTGTCATCTGTGAAATAACTTTAGAACCATCATGAGGATCAGAGTACTTGATCCAATAGACTTCTTTTTTTTTTAATTTTTAAGGGTTTACTTTATTCATTTAATTGAAAGGCAGAGGAGGAAACAGAGAAAAATCTTCCATTTGCTGATTCACTCCCCAAATGGCTGCAACAGCTTGGCTGGGTCAGGCAGAAGCCAGGAGC